TCGGGTTCGGGTTTTTACAAATAAGTTTAAAAATACTATATTGTATATATTAAAAGTATTTTAGGTATTTGAGAAACAGCTAAAATTCAACTTTGGTTTTTAACACTTATAATCCATATGAAATTTTGATTTGTACAAACTTGTGTTTCCAGTTTTGTAATTAAAAGTTTCAAACTTTGAATTTGTAGGAAAATGAAAAACAATTAGAGTATTAGACATTGTTTTTTGAATGGTTTTTCCAAACATAATATTTTGAATTAATAGCATCTGTGACAGTTAATGCTTCAAACAGTTTGTGTACTTCAAATTAATGATTCAATGTGTGATATTTAAATATATAATTTAAAAATAAAAAAATAGCTAAAATTATTATAACTGTGACTTGTGACTTAGCAACATAAAACCTATACCTATATATAATATTAATAATTTATATTCAATATACCATTTTTAGGTTTGAAAATTGGTCTATATAAAAATAAATGAAATAATAAGAGTTAGATGTGAACATTTAAATTTTGTTAGAAATTTATAAACAATTTGTAAATTTTAATATTTTTTTTATCTTTTACTTAACTTTAGTAAACCATATTTCATTCATCATATTAATTTGTTATTTACTGTGTTGTGTTTATGTATGTTTATTATATCATCTGTCATTTTTAATTTGTCATACAACATTGTCATTTTCATAATTGATTGTGTTTTTTATTTTATTCAAATTTATATTGTATTGTACGAAATCATAATTTTATTAAATATTTATACATACAGAACGTAGATGGGATATTCATAACAATGCATATATTAATTTTTACTAAATTATAAAAGTCTAAACAAAACTTATATTTTATTAATTTAATAAAATTTATAAATGTTTGATTTTTCATTATAACTTTTAATTATAATTATTATTTTTCTTTTTTACCCGTGGTTTCATTTATAAATGTTTGATTTTTCATTACTGTTACAACATGTACGTTCGTTATTATGTGTATTTTCATTACAAAATGACATTTTCTATATATATCAAGCACTATTTTTTTACATCATAATATTTTTTAAATGAATCATTTACATTTAGATCAACTACGAAAATTCTAATGTACAACAAATATTGTTTATATAATTTGATTAAAATGAATAAAATCTATTTTTTTTCTAACGGTTTGTTAAAATTTAATTTTCTAACGTTTGTATAATCAGGAAAGCAGCTGAAATGCATAACTTTGATCCCAGAACGAGTTTTGTGAAGTTGACAAGTGGAAGAAGTTTTTATTTTGTATTTTTTTAAATAACTATAATTCTAAAAATAAGGGTAAATATGTCTTTTTACCATGGTTTAACAGCAGAAACTTAACACCATTAACGGTAGGGACGAAGCATGCAACTTTTAAACATATCAAAGATGGTCCGAGTTAATTTTTGAAAATAATGACTAAATGTGCATTTTGGCACCTGTACGAGGGAAGATTCGTGTAATTTACTCTAAAACTTTACATGTGTAATATGATAAGATGTGTAATGGTTTGTTACTGATTTAACCCTATCAATACTTGTCCTATCTTTGAATTTTATAAATAATTAAGGCATTAAACACACTTACAATATTTACTTATTTTTTATTATACTCATTGTAATCCCTCTTTTTTGTTATTCTACTTTTTCAATTACTTCCCTTATGTTCTTGTCTCTTATGCCATATTTTAACCTGAGAAATGCATCTAATCTACCACGGATGAACGATTGTCAAGATTCCTTATTTATTCTAAACTTTGAAAACGATGTAATGGAAATTATTGAACAACCAATGTGTGTCTTTGCTATGACATGAAACTTTGGCCCACTATGACATTGGAAATGTAAGTTTGCCTTATATGTTTTTCATTATATAACATCATTTTTTTGTTTTCATTAATTCACAAATAAAAACTCTCATGTATCTTGAAAAATAAATTCAAATGTTTATCTGAATCAACGATTATAATTTTACATAAATAAAAAAACATAAATATTTTAATTATTTATTTATTGAAAATAATTAATTAATAATTATGAATTTTTACTATAAAAATTTATTTATTTTTATAACCGTGGTTCCCACGGGCTATAACCTAGTAAGCTAATTAATAAATAAGTGTGAGACAACTTATAAAAAATGACTTATTAGAGGTTCATACTGAAATAAAATATTTTCATCCAAACATATTTTTAATTTATAGCGGTGTGAAATCACTAATAATAAGTTGTTTTAATAAGCTTGGCCAAACATCCCTAACAAAAAAAACATATAGTCTCGTATTCCCTCGCTTTCCATTTCGATATCCGTTATGCCTTCGTTCGGAACACTCACGTACACCGAAGCTTTTATAGAGCTCACGAACGACGATTTAGGGTTACTCCATCACTCCATCTTTGTCGAAAATACAGGTCCTCCCACACCCGGCTTAGGGTTACAACACCGCCTCGCCATTTCCTTAGTCGGCCACTCCGTCACAAAATTAACATGCGATTTAGGGTTTCTTAGGTCGTTACTCCACCGGTGTTGTGCTCACGAAATCGACCGATGATTTAGGGATTGACTGTGGAATTAAGGGAAGGTCAAGGTATATAATATTCTTTGATGTTGTCAAGTTTGTTGCTCTTGTTAAATTCATTTAGAAACAATGTTAAATTCGTTCAAAACACACATCATGTAAAAATGTTTATTTAGTGTTTATGGAAAGAGCTTACCAAATGATTTAAAAATGCTTAAATGAGATGTGGTTTTCAAAAAGTTTGTCGATACCGGTTGTTACTCTTTGCTGATGGTTACAAATTAAACTGAGGTCTGCGATACATAGTGTTTTGCTGCTTTTAATCATAGTTTAGTTGTTGCTGATGGTTACAAATAAAGACTTTTGTCTGTTGAATTACTCTCTTGTGCCCTTAAAGGGAAAACATATGTTCAACTTGTATGAAAGTGAACTGAAAGGTTATTTTTTTAACAAAATTTTGTCTTTGATACTTTCATGTGTATTATGAGGCATGGTCATACCTTTATATAATGTTAGAATCTGTTTTATAGGTGAAGAAGATGTAACTGAGTTGATTAAATTGTCATGTGTGCTGCATATGGATCCTATAAAGGTCTTATGCAAAAGTAACATTTTTTAATATGTATTAACATTTTATTATATTTTTGAATTATAAAACTTTAAATATGTCACTCTAGCTATCTAAATTTATATTTTCAAGATTTGATAGTCTAGGCTTTATTTCACATGAGGTATTATCTGTTGAGAAATGGAAAGAAAAGCAAATGAGGGAAAATTGTGAAAAGTTAGGACTTAATTAACTGAAAAGTCTGGTTCAACTCAAACAAACAATATACCATCACTACCAAAGACAAAAGGACTTAAATAAGAACCGGATAAATCTCAAAGATCATTGGGGGTTTATCAATCTGCTGGCTAAATTTCTGGATTCACGGATCCAGAAATTTCTTCATGGGCTACCTGTTCAGGTGGAACAGTGGGATGTGTCGTAGTGGGCCTCCTTAAAGCTTCAAGCTCAAGTTCAACAGACCTCATTGTTGGCCTGTTAACACCAGATATTTCCAAGCACCTGTTCGCTAGCTGTGCTGCAACATTTAAATGTTGAAGGTCAATACCCCTTTCATTAAGTAAGCGCGGTTCCACCATTTGTAGGAGGTTTCCTTCACCCATGCACTTGACAAAATACTTTGACAAGTACCTCTCCTGGTAGACTCTCTCTACCAGAAGGGGTTTTTTACCGGTGATGAGTTCCGCAAGGACCACCCCAAAGTTGTATACGTCACTCTTTTCGTTTAAATTGTCTGTGTTTTGGTACTCAGGATCCAAGTACCCAAGTGTGCCCTGGACAACAGTGTTGACGTTTTCTTCTTTTTTAGAAAACAACTTGGAAATACCAAAGCCCGACAATTTCGCTCTGAACTCGTCGTCTAATAATATATTTGTGGACTTGACATCTCTGTGTATGACGGGGGTGGTGGCATGAGAATGAAGGTATGCAAGTGCAGATGCAGCTTCTGCAGCGGCCCTCAACCGATTCTCCCATGATAACCAACTCGTTCCACCCTCTTCATTATGAATGTGATGGAAAAGTGTGTTATTGGGAATGAACTCATACACTAATACCGGTACTTCCTCTTCAAAACAACAACCCAATAGTTTGACGACATTTCCATGTATGATTTGTGTTATTACCAATATCTCGTTTATGAACTGTTCCTTTTCGGTCTCACCCACTGAAAGGGACTTCTTTATTGCAATAACGCGTTTATCCGGCAGAATTCCTTTATAAACAATGCCAAAACCTCCCCTCCCTACAATTCGCTCATTTGAATAGTTATCTGTTGCTTTTCGAAGCTGTTCCATGCTATATACAGTCACGGTGTAAGCAGCCTCTTGCGAATTCAGTTTTTGTTTGAGCAACGCACCACCGTTTTGCTCAAAATACTTCTCTCGTAGCTTCATAAGTTTCCTCTTCTAGATGCTAAAGAATATCCCAATGATCCCGGCTAACGTCAACATAACCCCAACCAAAGCTACATGGAAAAATATAAGGAAAATGATCAGTTAACCAGATGAATACTAAACATGGGAACGTCATTTGCAATAAAGCCACATTTCCAACAATTACATATACCACGAAATTATTACAACTTATCTTGCAAAAATTGGTTCTTAATCCATGAAATGTATTTTTTTTTCTTGAAAATGATACTTTATAAAAAAATAATAATAATAATAATAATTCATTTTGTGAAATAAAAAAAGAATCTTGAAATAAGTATATTTTGGATTAAAAACAAAAGTAGGTACAATAAATTTTTGGTTAAGGTGTTTGCCTTTTCGAGGTTAAACACACATTACCTTTTTACACATTTAAATGTAAATGAGTATCATAAATTTTTACACATAAAAATAGTCAAGGATGGGTTCAAAAGTAGATTTTTACATGAAAAAAGTAGTCTTAGATAGAGTAGAACATAGAACCTATATAAGCTTGTCTTCATTTTCAACCTAACTCAAATCAAATATTTATAAAATAATAGTTTCTATACACATTAGCTACCAACGAATTTGTTCAAAATTAAACCCAATTCTTTATATACATTAGCAACCCAACGAATTTTTACTTTTATATTTAAAAAAACGTTATATAATGATATTTGGTGATCTTATAGTCTAATTAAATCGGGCATCTTGACCAACCAATTTTTCTGAACCTAATTTTCTATACATTTGAAAGAAAATGTATGGCCGATTTTGCAAAAATTTTATATATTTTCGGAAACATGTACATTGGAAAAGCAAAATTCATGAAAAAATGTTAACCGGATGAAAAAAAAATCATAAAATATGTTAGTTTTGGCCACTTGAAAAAGTAATTTTGAAAATATAATATATTTTGACAAAATAAATTATCAACTTTGATGCATTGGTTAAAAGGATTGGTGACCGTACAGATTTTGACTTGCAATGCTTAATTTATTGTACCTAATTATATGATGTTAGATTTAAGTATTTAACACATCATTAATAATAATAATTGTGTGAAGTATACCGATAGAGAACACCACTGGAAATTTTGATTTTTTAGCAACCGGTCGACAGCCGTATTTTTCTTTTGCTTCTCCTTCATATCCTTGCAAACATGTACAACTGTAATTCCCCGGACTATTAGAGCATCTTCCATAACAAGGATAGGTGCTATTATCCTCGCACTCGTTGATGTCTAGCAAACAAAGTTATTCAAGTATTAAAACAAAGAGGTACAAAACATGGCATACGCATGGTTTGCTAATACTACAAATTGAATGC